ATATATTTATATAGGGATAATGCACAAGTATTCTCTCAACATATGCCCAAAATCTTAAAGACACACTTATAATATACTAAGGTCATGTACCCTCCCTGAACTTATTTTATTAATAATTGTCTACCCCTTTTCGGCCTACATGGCACTATCTTGTGGGTCCAACGCTGGTTAATATTTATCAACCTAGTGCCATGTGGGCCGAAAATGAGTAAAAAATTACTTATAAAATAAGTTCGGGGGAGTATTAGGACCTTAGTATAGTATAAGTGTGTCTCTAGAATTTCGGACATAAGTTGAGGGGGTACTTGTGCATTTTCCCTTTTATATAATAAATATGAACAAACATAATCGATCAAAATGAGTTAAATTTATCAAATTCTAAGTAAGTAAATGATAAAGTTATTTCACTACTACAATAATTATGGAGCATTTCGAATCAGACATGTAATTCTTTTGTGATCAATATTTTACATATGGAACACTTCTTTTTTCCTGTTGAAAATGATTGTCTGACTCTACGCCTCCTATCTATTCTCCTTCTTCCCAATTTTTTTAGGTCAACATATGAAGAATATATTTTTCTCTCCAAAAACTCCAAAGAAACAATTCAAGAATCTTCAAGATGCACCAGCTTAATTTACTCACAATATGCAATTACGTATTTTTCCATCGAATAATATGTTGAATACTCATAAATCTAATTTTGAATTGTGCATCATATTAGTCTCAAAGTTCTACTATGGCATGTAGATAATATATTTCGTTCAAGTCAAAAACTCTACATATACACATTCTTCTTTGAAGATCGACCGTGGCAACATCATCATCACCGTTGATACTGACTTGTAATTGGCTATTTCATGGGCCAATAACTTGTTTTTTCAAATTGCTTTACTTTGATACTTATTTTTTCTACTGAAGAAACAAGTATGTTTTGTGAGTTGATCAACTCCATACGCCTCTTGTGAAATAATTTTGCAAATCTCTTTTTTATTTTATGAAATAAAGTGATGAAAAGAATTTCTCTTTTAACTTCAAATATTGCATTCACGGATTTAACAATATTTTGCTGTCAATTTACTATACCTATACAAAAAAAATGACTTAATAAGATGTATAATCATAATAAATTCAAACAAGATACTCAATATATAATATTGTACCTATTTCCTCGGGAAATGTCCTGCTCCATCTATGAAATCCAACTAATTTGAGATGTTCGGCTGCATTGGTTACCATGTCCCTTATTTGATTGAAATGTTCATAGAACTCAACTGTATTATCCTCTTTCGCTGCATTATAAAAATTAAATATGACATTTGAATTTTGAAAAATTATTTCGAATATTTTATTCAAGGTGCCTCATGCAACAATCATAATGAGCTGATGGACACAAAATTGAAACCATCTTTTAGATACTTGAATGTCTATAAAAAATTGTGCAGACCTCATCAATATCATCTACATAACTTCTAATTTTTTCAAAAGAAATTATCCATACGAGGCATCACATTCTTTATCACTAAACAAAAAGCCACCAAAAAAATATGATTCTCCGCATCATGCATTGTCGTCGATAACAAAACTCCTTCATACTTTCTCTTAAGAATAACACATTGACAATCATGACTTTTCTCAATTGTTGAAAACCTTAAATCCAAGCCAGATATTCTATTTAAGAAGTACTTAACATTTCCATTTTCATGAACCTGCAATGAAGTCTTACTTCCCTGATTTGCAGACTCAAGCATATAATGGTATGTATCAAGAAATCCATATCCTTGATCATGTGTTTCCGTAATCAAAGACTTTGCAATTTTCATGTCCTTATATATATTTTAATAACTCACTTTACAATCAAATTATATATATATAGTTTATTTTTCATATCTCTGGTAGATGGACTTTTACCATCAGGGAAGCTATTTTTGAAGTATTTACTAAAAACCTTTGTTATGGCATGTGAATTATGACTCGCAATACACTCCGAACTGAATATGTAACACCTTTAATAAGTTCTAATACAAAATCTGTTAAGATTTATGAATTTTTTCAACCCTTAACCATCACTTTCACTCTAGATGCAAATATTTATAATAATACACACTACGTGATTTAATCATCTTCACGAGTCTAAGATCTTGTTTCAAGCAAGCAATACGCAATGAACTGACTAGTTCTTATTTGTTCTTGAATGTCCTTTTTATGTAAAACTTATTTCATCATGTTGAAGATTGACAACTGTTTTTATTGAGAACTGGCCACTATGTTAACAATAGGTGTAGGTGTTTGATTCTCCTCTGCATCATGTTCATTCTCATCATCTGACATATTCATGTTCATCCCATTCAATTCATAATTTAACATGATTTGTTGGTCTTGTTCAACATTTTCATTCTTTATTTGATTCTTCAACACTTTCTTAAAATGGGCTTAGCTGCATTACTCAGATAAGCACACAAATGAAGTTATTGCGTATATTAAAAGGTAGGACCCTCTGATTTTCAAAAGACTTGTGCATGTAACTAATGAACGATCGTTTGGTTGAATTTTAGTGCACAATAGGTAATGATTGAGTTCACAAAATCATCATACAAAATGCCCCTTCGAATTGTCATCAAATATTGACTCTAACATGTCACCATCCTTTCCCCGCTAAATAAATTGATTGTTCTTCTTTATAAATTCACCGCAACAATCAACACCTATTATTAATGATTCTTCCATTAACGTTACCTAACAATATAAATATTTAAGAATGATTATACAGTAAAGCTGAGTGGCTACGTACAGTTTAAAAATTCATATTCACAATTACTCTCCAAACAAGGTTGCAACAAGTAGGTCATTCGTTGCAATAGATGACTCACTTGTTCCAATTAATGACTCACTTGTTGGATGCATGTCTAGAACCTGACACTTATTCAACATGTAAGTCAATTTTTATAACAGTTGATTCATCTGTTATAACAGATAACTCTTATGTTGCAATATATGACTTACATGTTTGACAAACTTATTATTGTGTCCTAATTGACCTGGTACTATAACATGTATCCGACATGTAAGACATTTGTTGCAATTGTGAGTAATTTGATGTATCAGATGACTCATCTGTTGCAATAACTGACTTGTCTGTTGAGATAAACTTTAAACTTCTGGTCTCGTCCCAGCTTGACCTGGTACGGCAATATGCATTCAACAAGTAAGTCATATGTTTAAACAAATGAGTCATCTGGTGCAACAAATGACTCATCTATTGGAATAAATGAGTTATGTGTTGGGACAAACTTCTGGTTCTATCCTAGCTTGATCGGGTATTGTAATATACATATCCAACAGGTAAGCCATTTGCTACAACAAATGACTTAACCATTAGATAGTTGATTGTAAATTATTAAAGAAACCGTCCAAATACCCAGATGAAATATTAGACTAAAAATCATTAATTTCCTTACCAAAATCACCTATGAAATAATGCCTAATAATGTAGAAGTCAAATTTTATCCAATAGCAGTAATACCAACAATATGAATGTAACGACAAACAATAGAAGAAAAAAATGAACAATAAGAATACAAATAATGATGAACAAGAAAAAAAAAAGAATGAGGATGAACAAGAATAAGAGCAGCAATAGGAGATCAACAACAATGAAAGAATAGCGGAGAGAGAGAGAAAAAGGAAAAAGTAGCGGTGAGTTGTGGGTGCCCTATTCCCCTTCGTTTCTTATTATGAGGGTGTTATATAAGACGTGTCAAAGTATAAAATAAAAAATAACTTGGAGATGAGATTCGTCCCCTCAATTCTCAATTTAAAATAGAAAAAGGCCTAAAATACCCTTGAAGTATTGAAAATGGTACACAATTACCCTTCATCCATTTATTGGCTCCAAAATGTCCATTTAACCCACCTATTGGCTCCAAAATACCCACATCCACCTTTGGGTTCAAAATTGACCGCTTATTTAATGGTTTTATATTTAAACTATTTAATTATTTTTTTAAGTAGTTGGCGCTCGACTATTAGATATAATTTAATTTATTAATATCATTTATAAATCAACCCACTACCGACCCATTACTAATTAAACTCCACCCAATTAATAAACAAATTATAATATCAAAATCTCCCTAAACCCTACTCAAACATGACGAAATTACAGATTCCTTAAAATGACATCCAAAATTATTTAGTTCGAATTAAAGCCCAATTAAATTTAGGTTGAGCCGCTTATTAGGACACTCTCAATAGGATTCCCTTTCAAGTTTGAATTCAAATTTTATGATTAAAGGTAAAGAAGTAGTACATCCCTAATTAATTTATGCACTTTTTAAATATAATTTTATAAATATTTATTATTTGTTTTAAATACTTTAATATATATTTTTTTTATAAAATTTATTCATAAAGTAACATCAAATCATTGAGAGAAATGAATAATTAACATAAAGATAGTCATACTTTTAAGTTTATCGGTAATTTTAGTTTAGACACTTGAATTATAATATGTTTTGATTGATGACTTGAATGTATGATATTTTCACCTCAATTTTTTAGAAACAATCATTGACAAAAGTTTTCTGTTGTTTCATTAATAATGGGGCGGGTTTATTAATTGGGTGATTTAATTAGTAATGGGTGAATAGTAGATAGATTTATAAATTATATTAATTATAAATTATAACAGTTGTTGAACGTCATGTATTAAAATTTTTATTTAAATAGTTTAAGTATATAGTCGTTAAATAAGTGGTCAATTTTGAACTCAGAAGTGGATGGGTAAAATATTTTGGAACCAATAGGTGGATGAGAAGGTTATTTTGGAGTCAATAGATTGATGAAGAGTAATTTTATACTATTTTTGATACTTCAAGGATATTTTAGATTCTTTTCCAATTTAAAAATTATCACCCCTACACATCAATTAAGACTTGAGTCACCTATTCCTAATTTTAAAACTTCTCTATCTCACTTAATTCATTGTCTCGAAAAACCTTTGCGCTGATAAGAAAACTTGAGAGTTAAAAGTAGTACTATTAATAACACTAATATTAAAATTATCACCTCAAAGCAATAATTGAATCTGGTATCACGTTTTCTTTGTTTTAATATTTTCTTTTGTCACCTTCAATAAAAAAAAGTTCCAAGAAAGCCAACTTCAAAATTGAGGTGCACCAATTTCCAAGGCGACTAATGCCTAATGGCCCTTGAAATCTCCCTACGACTTGTATGATTATTATTTTGTTCCGTATTTAGCGCCTTAACTTGGTTATCAATGCGGACGAAACTTACTATGGCGTCTTTTGCCAGAAGCAGATATGTAACAACCAATTCTCACAATTGCCAACAATGCACTCTACCTCTTCACTTTAACTCTCTAAGCAACTATGATGTTTCCTCAACTAACAAAACATTACATGATGTTGTAAAGTATGGGTCTTTAACCTCTGCACGCCATATGTTTGATGAAATGACTAAACGTGATGTTGTTACATGGAATATCATGATTTCTGGATATAGTCATAATGGGTTCCCAAGAAAATCACTGCACTTGTATAATAAAATGGTTTCTAACGGTATTATAGAGAATTCATCTACTTTCTCCTCTATATTGACCATATCTGCAAATGTAGGTTTGTTCAAACAAGGGGTTGAGATTCACAGCAGAGTTGTTGTTTTGGGATGTAGTATGAACTTATATGTTGCTAGTTCACTTATTAATATGTATATAAAAATGGGGTTTACAGATTTTTCTTTTAAATTGTTTTATGACTTACCTAAACGAACTTTACCCATATGGAACTTGGTTTTAGGCGGAATTTGTGAATTGGGTCGGTTGAGTGAGTTCTTAAGATTGTATAGTGATATGAAGATGGAGAATGTCGAGCCTAATGGGCTGACGTTTTGTTATTTGATTAATGGTTGTTGTAAAGAGATACTTGTTGATGAGGGAAGGCAGTTGCACTCACATGTGATTAAGACAGGATGGTTAGGATCAAATATTTTTTTAGCTAATGTATTAGTGGATTTTTACTCTGCTTGTGGTATTTTGGTTGATGCTGATAAAGCATTTGAATGCATTCCACCTCAGGATGTCATTTCATGGAATTCAATGGTTTCAGTTTATGCTGCTAATGATTTGTTACGTGAAGCTGTTCGAGCCTTAGAAGAGATGAGATTGTGGGACAAAAATCCCTCTTCTATGTCATTTGTGGCATTGTTGAATTTATCAAGTCGCGGAAAGGAACTGCTATTTGGAAAACAAATACATAATTTTGTTATAAAACTGGGTTTTGATTGTGAAAGTGTCCTCATTCAGTCAGCTTTGATTGATATGTATGGGAAAAATGATGACATTCAAAGTTCAATAACTGTATTCCGGTGTTCACGTGAGAGAAGTCTCGAATGTTGTAATTCAATGATGACATCTTTGCTGCATCTTGGTTTCCTACACGATGTATTTGAGCTTTTCAGTCAGATGGTTTGTGAAAATATTATGTTTGATGAAGTGAGTTTGTCCTCAACAATTAAGGCATTATCATTGTATTCCTCTCCTAGCTTGGATAACTGTTGTTTGTTCCATTGTTGTGCAATAAAATCAGGTTTTGATTCTGATAGTATGGTCTTATGTTCTCTGATTGATGCATATTCAAGATCTGGACAGATTAGATTCTCTCAGCAGATTTTTGAAGCACTTCGCTCACCTAATATTTTCGGTTTCACTTCAATAATTAATGCATATGCTCAGAAAGGAATGGGATATGAATGCCTTGCAGTGTTTGAAGAAATGATCCAAAAGGGTCTAAAACCAGATAAAGTAACATTCTTGTGTATACTGTTGGGATGCAACCATTCAGGTCTAGTCGAAGAGGGGAAAAGGATTTTTGATTCTATGAGGACTCTCCATGATGTCTATCCAGACAGGCGGCACTATTCATGTATGGTTGATCTTCTAGGTCGTGCAGGTCTAGTCAATGAGGCAGAAGAGCTGCTAATGCATGGTTCATCGGAAGGAGATTCTGTCATGTGGAGCTCACTTTTGCGAAGTTGCAGGATTCATCAAAATGAACATGTTGGAAGAAGAGCAGCTAAAAGGTTGATGGATCTTGAGCCAGAGGATCCTTCTTTTTGGTTACAGGCCTCAAATTTTTATTCTGAAATTGGAGAATTTGAGGCTGCCGTATACATTCGAGAGGTTGCAGTGGCAAGGAAGATGAGCAGAGATATTGGCTATAGTTTAATTCGGGTACATGAGTTCCATTAAATATACACTCAAACAAAAAGAGGGAAAAAAGGACATCATGGCTGTTTGGTCTGCAGGACATGCTGGATATACTTTTTCTTTAAAAAAATATATCTACCAGAATGGAGAGACTTTGTCTGCCTCTATACTTTTGAAGCAAGGACACTGTGCTGCTTGTTAACCAACTCTAATACCAAAATACAATACAAGTTTCAGAAGAAATGTATATGCGTTGTTTGGTCTCTCCATTTACCAAGTAACTTTTTTCTAGTGCCCTTCATCTTTTTCAAGATTTCCACATTTATTGATGAAGTAAAACTACTGTAACGGTAATTTGACTGTCTAAAAGGGGAACCTTTGAAGATCGGTGCTGTAACATTTGTTGTTGTATGGGTGAGAAAGAATCTAGAGAAGCATTTTACTTATGAATAGTATGTTGAACCATGGCTGAGGAGTAAAGCAACAATCTCTAAAGTGATATTCTTACACTTAAAGTGTGGGATTGTAGAAAATTAAACACCTTTATCTACTTTCAAGCCAAGCCATATAACCCCACTAAATCATCCATTTTCAGCACTAATACATCCATATAAATTAATACTCTATGGCCTCCTTTGATTTATGTAAAATCTAGAAATACAGAACGAATACCAGAAACCCCTAAATCATGGTTAAGATACTCTTCTTCTTGTTTCTTGTTTGGTTAATGGGGGCTCTTGGAGCTGCAAAAAACAACTTTTTGGATGATGTCATCCTGTCAGAGCTTGATGATTTGGATGTAGAAGACAGTGACGAAGCAGAGTTGTTTGACCTCCCCAGATGGGGAATTGATCGCGGCAACAAGATTCTTGTCAATGTTGATAGCTTTGGTGCAGTTGGTGATGGAACTTCAGATGACACCAAGGTAATTCATTTTAAAACTGAAATACTCGACACAAAGATTTGCGGATCGACTTCTACCTGTTTTTTATTACACTAGATTAATGGATTGAAAAAGTGATGGTTAAAAGAAAAAGATTGAAAAAGTGTTCGGCAAGTAGAAATATGACCATCCTGTATTTACTCCATTCATAATCGAGGTTGTCTTTCATACTTATTGCTTACAGGATTCTAGTTTTACTGATTAGTCTCCTCTTCTAGTGGAGTGGACAACATAGACTACCAATGCTATCTTTTTCTTGAGTTGTAGATTATCTGTGTTGTTGTTGTTTTATCTGTGCAATTTGTAAGTACTTTCTCCCACTTTGTCAATTGTACTATCTCAGGCTTTTGTTGATGCATGGAAGCAAGCTTGTTCAACACCAAAATCAGTCCTCTTGGTCCCTGCAGGACGAAGTTATCTAGTAAATGCAACAAGGTTCCGAGGGCCTTGTGTGGGCATACTGAGAGTCCAGGTTACACTTATTGCTTCTATTTCACGTCTTGTTTCAGTTTTTGTCCTCCATTTTACTAGTATTTACTCTAGAGAAACTTATACATACTATACTTGGTTGAAATTGTTATTGTTTCCCTTGTAGCATCTATTAAGACAGCTCAAGTGTTCCTTACTATTGTCATAAACTGGAAATGTGATTAAACAGATTGAAGGAACTATAGTAGCACCAGATGATCCTAAGAACTGGAATTTTGCAAAGAATGGACGAATTTGGCTTGGCTTCTTTAACTTGACTGGAGCTCTGTTCCAAGGAGGAGGTGTTGTTGATGGATCAGGCAGCAAATGGTGGGCAGCTTCATGCAAGAAGAACAAGACTAATGTAACTAACGCATGGACTACTTATATGTTCTTTTTTGTTTTGACAGATAAAGATTATAGTCTTTCTCTTTCTTGTTTTTTCTTGTTTTGGATTTTCTTCCGATAACAGCCATGCGTAGCAGCACCAACTGTAAGTGGACTATCATGAGGATCTCATGTTTAACCCTTATCAGCATTGTGAGATCAACTCACACAGGATTCTAAATTGCAGGCTTTAACTATATATGGAAGCTCAGGTATAAAGGTGAGGGACCTAACAATCCAAAATGGCCAACAAATGAATTTTGCCATTTCTCGATCAGACTCTATAAGAATAGCTGGTGTTACGGTGTCTGCTCCTGAAGACAGTCCTAATACTGATGGAATCCATATAACTGAATCTACAAATGTTGTACTCCAGAATTCCAAAATTGGAACAGGTCTTGACATCTCCCATGTTATCTACATTCAGATCTCCTTATTTGACTGATATTGACCTCAAGAACAAAAGTTGCAATATTATGTGATCTCGTGTATGGGATAAGACAGACTGCAGAAAAGAATCTCTTTTGAAAATAACATTTAGTGTGCAACTGCATTGCTTTCTTAAATGTGCCTCTCAAATAAGGCACTCTTACCTACCATATAAACCTTGGCTTGAGCTCTGTGCATCTCTCACTTTACTATATAAAATACCTAGCTTGAAAACACGTACGAGCCCACCTTCCATGCTCTCTGTTTTTCTTAAATAAACTGGCACATGCACTGTTATAATGGACGTGCCTTTATTGGCATCATGAATATGCTTTATGATCAATAAAAACTGATTCCCTTCCTTTCTTATTAGGTGATGATTGTGTCTCTATTGTCAATGCTAGTTCTCATATCAAGATGAAGAGAATTTACTGTGGACCTGGCCATGGAATCAGGTAGTTCAATTTCCCGTTCTCATTGCCCTTTAAAATTACCTTTTGAAGCTTTGCAGAAGGCATTTAAGAGTAAAAATAAATTCGAATGTCAAATTATGGAAGAATAAGTGAAAATATCATTCTCAAGTTGTCTTCTAAACTGATTCTGTTGCATGAATGATGCCTAATCAGCATTGGGAGCCTTGGTAAGGACAACTCTGTTGGTATAGTTACTGGGATTGTACTTGATAATGCGTTTCTCAGAGGTACCACAAACGGTCTGCGGATCAAGACATGGCAGGTATGCCATTTTTTGCATTGTGTTGCACTAAATTTATCCCTATATATGGTATTACCTACAGGATTGTTTGAAAATTAATACATTTTAGTTGATTTTACTACAGCTCTCCTTTTAATTATCAAATATCTACAGTCTCCGTGTACTTTACATGGAAAAGATCGATTTAATTATACAACATTCTGAACCCCTGCGAGGAAAAAGCTTTCCCAGTTCTCAATGGCACCTAGATTTTGTCTGATAACTCAAGAAATAATTTTCATTTCATCTTAGTAAGAGAATGACAAAAAGTTGTTTTCTTAGGGAGGATCAGGTTATGTGCGTGCAGTGCGCTTCCAAAATGTAAGGATGCAAGATGTTTCCAATCCTATCATCATTGACCAATTCTATTGTGACTCACCGAAGTCCTGCCAGAATCAGGTATTCTTCTCAATTTTCATGTTTTCAATTGATAACGTATTACTTGGCGAAGGAAATAAATAAGATTCCTTCCAATAGTTGGGAAAGTCGATGTGACAGTGTCATTTTTTCTTTACATGATAGACATCTGCAGTTGAGATTAGTGAGATAGTTTACCGGAATGTTAGTGGTACTTCAAAGAGCCAAAAGGCAATCAAATTTGCATGTAGCGACAACGTGCCCTGCAGCCATATTGTTCTGAACAACATCAACTTAGAGACCAGAGATGGTACTGCTGAGGTCTACTGCAACTCCGCCACAGGGATTGGTTATGGTTATATTCATCCATCAGCAGAATGTCTCAACTCATCTGACAAGAAAATTAAGCAGAAAATGGATGCTCGACTTGTCGAACCAAGGGAAGAATACATCGTTCATACCGAGTTATGAATCGCCATCACTCAAACACATTTTTAATATAAATCTCGTAGTTTAGTTCTTACTGATTTGAGTAATCTCAGATTCAGAGGTTCCTAACTAGGTAAATTAACAGCTAAATACTGTTATACAGCGATTCATTAAAAATATTTATATGAGACATATTGTATTATTATATACATTATTTTCTTTCATGTTAAGCTCAATGTAATACACAAATTTATCAAGACGGCCATTTTCTCATAGCTATGGTGACTGACTACTCCCTCTCAAATATTCTAAACCTTTTATTTTTAATTAAACATACTAATGCACTTCTCAAAATTAATCAACAAAAATCAGAAAATTTTCATTTTCTTTATATGTTTGGATTCATCTCCAATTTTTCTTCTGAACAACAATCAGAAAATTTTAATAGATTCTTTTATAGAGTATACGTTCATCTATGTGTCCACTTATATAGTGAATGATTTAGTTTATAAAATTAAACTTATACACAAGATTACATCATTGGTTCTTAGAAATATAAAGTTTATATTTGTAAATCTAATATGAAAATTAGACAAAGATATCGATATAATTGTATACTAGTTACATATAATTTATCTTGATTATGAATATATAATAATTTTAACTTCTTATGCTAGTACATCTTATATGTATTAATAGGATCAAGTCGAGATAGTATTTCATATTGACTTAATAAATAACTTCTCTAGTTCATTAAATATTCTTATACTCTTAGGCTTGGTATAATTATTATTAACAATGTATATTGTTTATTATATTGCTTTATATAAAACAAGATTCTTTTATGAGTAAATATGTCTAGTAAATTATATAATAACAGTATATATTGACAAAATAATAGTTTGTTAATAAAATTCATATGTCGTTTGAAAATTGATGATACGCTTTTATAAAAAATTTTAGTTTTATGTGTAAAAATCGACACATAAATTTTATATCCGTCAAATAGAATAAGTTAAAGAAAAAATCTTAAGAAAATAGTCAAAATCAAATAATTAGTCATTTAATGGATTAGCATTTGAATCTTATGGGGAGTTAAATGAGATTTAATTGATGAATTCTGAAATTAAACTGAGAAGTTATATTGTGGTGGTTTGCCAATATTTTTAGGTGGCACAAACTTGTTTCGAAATAAAATCATCCATTTACCTAATCTGAGCATCAAAATGGCTAGTTTAGGTAGATATTTTCATAATATATTATGTTATATTGTATCATATCATATAATATTGTTTAAATGAATATAATATTTAGATATATTGTCCATCGTTATATGTCACATATCCATAATTTAAATAATAAATTTATCAAAAAACAAGGTATATTATAGAACTAAATACTATGAAAATGTAGGATAAAAAATGAAATGTGATTATTAAATAGTAAAGATGGAATAATCTGATGAACCCT